ATTACACCGATTCCTGAAAGATAATATACTAAAGACTACAGATCACACCTACTTTGCAGATTTGAAGATACCAGAGAAGAGAGAAAAATGATTTCAAAATTCTATGATGTACTCCTGTCAAACCACATTCAGCACCCATCTGTCCAATGTGGAGATAGGCCATTGGTCCTTGAATTTTAACAGTCCTCCCCTTAGGTGTTGCTCATTGGAACTCTCCTGACTGTAGTCAGATTGTTTCTAGTGTTGGAATTTACACTGCAGGAAGACTGGTCTCTCTCCTTTCCAGGCTTAGACTTGTTCTATTTGCCTTTGTTGTAGTCTTGCCTTCCATACTTAGAGGAACAGCCACAGAAAGGATATTTAGACCTGAAATAAAGCCAGCTATCCCTTTTCCCAGATTTGGAGTTGAGAGTCTTGTAACATATTTTTTTGTTTATCTGAAGACTACAACACCACTTTGTCTAATGGTTCCCCAAACAACCAACCTTCTAAATATTTTGAAGCTGTTAACGTGATTTTGTCTGGTCTGTCGCCCTTCCAGAGGTGCCATCAAGTCACTACATTGGAGGCCATAGCATGTACTGAAAACACAGAAGCACCCCTGGTTGCATCAGCTATGAATGCTGAAGGCACTAAGATGTACATTAACTCTGAACCTAACTGAAGTGATTTCTTGGCAGTTTTTGGCCAGTCTGACTCCTAAAGAGTCTGTCCAGGTGAGTACTACTCTTGCAAAACATGGTGCTGCAGCAGAAGCCTTCAGAGGGGAAGATGAAGCCTCATTATGGCATAGTGATATTTCCAGTCTGCAGTCATTGAGTTCTTTTGGGGAAAAAGTCCGTCTCCTTTGGGACAGCAATGACTTTGACTAGTTCCAGTAAACTGCTCTGTCCATTGTGGGAAGAGAGACAATCTGCTTTTTGCTATGGTGCATGCTGTAGAATTTTTTTGGCATGCCTGGACAATCTCAGACTTTGTTGGTGCTTCCCATTCAGCCTTAATTACTTTCCCCCAAAAGACACGAAGGGGAACGTGTAGTTCAGATTTTGAACAAGTTGGGGAAAAAACTTTTGTAATTTCTATACTAGTTCTCTCTTCTTCCACCACAAATTTTTTTCTCACTAGCTCATCCGACTGAATACCCAAGTATCTAATCAGCTTTTGTAACTTCATCTCAGATAATTCAGTTGGCAAAAGATCCTCTTGCTTCACTTCATCCTGCAGCTCAGACTCTGAGACTGAATTAACCTTCCTCCTGTGAAGATGATCCTAACTTTCCTCTTGACTTCTTTATTCCTCTCTTGGAATTAGGTTGAACAGATTTTCTAGCTTTTTTTTTTTTGAACAATGCTCAGAATGAAAACGAATTGGAGGAGGAAGATGAAAAAGAACCAGATGTAAACAATTTATATTTCTTTTACTATGCTTTTTCTTTCCACGTATAACATCTTGTGAAGAGAGCCATTAGCTCTGGCACTCTCTGGTGATGAGTCAGAGGAATTGCTGTCCATAGAAAAACAGGCCAGTTTTCTCCTAAGTTTGAGGTAATTTCTTGAACCCCTTTCTCCTTTAATTTTCAGTCCTTAGGGGAGGTGACACTAGGAACCTGAGTCAAATGAAGAGCCCTGCAAAACTCTTCCGTTAACAGGCATCTATTTATCTTTGCCCTTTTGAGTGTGGACAGAATCCCTGTAAGGGACACTGCAGCTGTTTCCTGGGGCTCACAAGATGGCAGCTTCTACAGTAAAGGTATTTTTCATGCCAAATCCAAGAGCTCCATAGCCTAAGAGGGAATTTCTTCCTGAGGGAGATTCCTTTCTTCTCCTCTCCATGCAGAATTCCGGACTTCCCCTAGGGCTAAGGAAAGGAGACCAAATTGCCTGACGGGAGAGGGTGGGACTGATGAGACATGCACTGTGGGAGGGCATACACATAAATGGCCTTTTCGGCCACTCCATGCTCTGACCATGGCAGATTCAGCTGGTCCCGCTTATGGTTTCCCTGTGCCAGGCTGCTACCCTGATGTAACTGCCTCTGGTTGCTGAAGGGCTCTCAATTTTTGTGCCATCCATCAAGACATTTGCAGCCTGGCTATCAGACTCCTTGCTGGTGGGGAACTCCTGGGGAACCAGCTCCTGGATCAGGATAAGGCAGACAAAGCAAAACCTTTTCAACCCAGTGAATGAGGCAGCTGCACCAGGCACAAACTTCTCCTTTTGCAGCATTTGGCAGGAATACAGAGCAGGAGGAACACAGCCTTGCTCAGTTTCCTGTTTGGACCTTTCTTGTCCATCCTCTTAGCCTGCAACCTGAATAGCTGGGGGATAGGAGGCAACAACTGTGACAATTCCTGACAGGAGACAACTTGTGTCTTCAGATTTTTCTTAATTCTGTCTCTTACAAGCAATGCTGATACCACAGACCCGCCAATAGCTATAGGAGGGGGGGACAAAATGAGGGGAACTCCAGAAGGTGGGGGCTAGTCCCTCAGCTATCCAATCAGCTTTGATTTTTCCCCCTACAGCTACAGACAGGCGATGACTCACACTAAGGATCTGTGGACCAGACCCCAAGAGAGAGGAAGTCAGATTTTGTATGCTTCTCCTAGAGCTGCTGTAATGACCAGTAAGTTTTCCTTTGATGATTTTACTTGAGAGGGAGACAAGACAGGGATGCCTGCTTTCTCCCTTACTCTGACATTGCTAAGCAATTTACTTGAGTCGCTTGCTCTTCAGTCCTTTGAGAGTTTTCAGGCAGACAGTCACTCAGAAGTCAACCTTGTATGCGGCTGCTGATGATATGACAGCATGTCATCTCTTGAAATATCCACTTCAAATTTAAGACAAACAACTGACCAATTAGGTCAATTTTCAGCTTTCAAAATTCATTTTCTTAAATTAGAAGTATTATCTATGTAAACCTGATCCTCTATCCTGGCAAGCATTTTCTCCTTTTTCAGTGCAAGTAAAATGGCACCCTCTACCTAGATGTCTCCACTCCAAGTAGGTTTTCCATTCTGTGCTCTTGCAACTTTGTTCAGTGCTTAATAAAATTAAAAATGACCTATTAAGATAGTTCCCTCTTCCCTCTCTCTAATGAGTGAAAATTACAATATTCCCTAGATATAGAGAGTTTACAGTAAATAGTGTATTTGTTTCTAACTGGAGGGAGATCTTTGACTTGAAGACAGAGAACATAGCTGTCATCTGCCATGACAGATATCCATGTGTGTTTTAACAGACTTCAAACAGTCTAAAATGAGAGATGCCTTGTATTTCTCTGTCTGATTATACACGTGTCAGCTCTGTTTTATAAAACACTGGCTGGGAGATAAGGAAATTTATACTTTTCTATGTAGTGAAGAGAGGTTTACTTTTCCCGACCCAATTGTCTAATTCCCTTTTTTTGAAAGCACATCATCAACTTAAATCCTTTATTCAGAGCCCCTATATGGATTTGGAGAACCTTAAGTAACTTGCCAGGTAAAGTAGCTCTCTCACCAGTGTTACTTGTTTATAATAATTATGTTTCCCCTAAACTTGGCCGGCCCAGCTAAATTATGAAGGTATGCAGGAATTAAATACATTCCTTATGTTTTAGTTCATCCACCAACCTCTGCCATACCTCTAATCTGTCTTGCACTAATTTTTTTTAAACAAATGACAGAGTAAAATCTTGTTAAATGGCTGTAACATTTCTAAAAACAAACAAACAAACAAACAAACAAACAAACAAACAAACAAACAAA